ACACAAAATACTATTTCCCCATCAGTCGTTCCCCATCGGTCGTAAAGTCCTTCCCATAGCCCGAAATCCATGTCTTCATTAAATTTGATTTAGTCAACTTAATTTTTGGCATATTATAAAATTCAGCAGTCAAAAATCACGTTCGAAGCTTCACTAACTACGTATTCAACTGATGGATTTCGAAACTGTCTATCTATCAGATGGACTATTGAAATATGTTAGAATAGCAGCTCTCTCCGAAAATGTATTCACTCCACCTTTTAACTAATCAATCACAGGAAAGGGAGGTCATTTTCTACCTACCACAGAAGCCTTATTTTTCCCACACAGATTGACAATTATTTATTCCAGGAAAAGACATCCCTTCATAGAATATCTGACCATCCCTTTCTGAGGTTTCTATGACGAATGTCCGTTTGGGTGGGCCCTTTGTACCCCCTTCCTGACACACACCTCATTGCTACATCTTTTTCAGGTGATTGCAATCACCCCCAGCAACATCAATCCAGCTGACCCTTTCAGGTGGTAAAGAATGACAAAACAAAATTTAAAGCGTTCCTTATGCTAACATAAAAATAATAGTGATATGGTTTTAGGAGGGAAAAGCCATAAAATGCTGAAAATATGCAGTTATAAGAGCAAATATACCTTTTTATGCATTTATATGCACAAATGGCAAGAAGTGCTAAAATATGCAATTGCATATGCACGTATGCAATTGCATATTATTCGCTGTCTAATCATAACTTTTGAAACAAACCTACTTATGTCTGAAAAATTGGTTTTAACCTTACATGAGTGGGATTGTTATGTTATAGAAATCTGTGTTTGCAAATAGCAAGTTAATATAAATCTGGCTTCATTTGTAAAAAATAAAAATAAATTATTTGGGAACAGTGAACTAGTGAAATACTTAAAGAATGTGTGCATGTTAATGCAATTGAAGGGAACATATTTTACTCTCTGAATTCTCATAGTACTTCAGTGTTATGTACTTCATTGTTGTCTTTAATCCTTTTCTGAATTTCATCAAGTTGTTGACATTTAAAAAGTTGATAACAGTCAAAAGATCTGATGTTATGTTCTTTCTTGTAAGTTCAATTTAGTTTTCTAAACCGTCATAAATATAGGTGAAAATTAGGTTCTCTAGCAAAGTTCATGACACCCGGTGGCTGAGTGGTAGCGCTTCGCGCTCCCGCACCACGGGTCCTGGGTTTGATCCTCAGTCCGGGCAACTCAGTTGACTCAGCCTTACATCCCTTCAGTGGGTCGATAAATGAGTACCAAGCATGCTTGGGAACTAAAAACTGGGGGTCCGCGTTTGGCTGACAACCTGACCGGAACATCTGCTCCTGCACCCCAGAGCCCAAAGTCAAGAAAGCTGAGGTAGTCCTTGGCCCTCTATGGGCTGTCGCCCCACTGAGATTAGCAAAGTTTATTGTCTGAAATAGTGACTGCATTTCAAACATTGCTAGTAGTCACTCTATTCGGAAGAAAAAAATGACTAGTTAACTACAAAAAAAAAATAATTAGTTTTTCTGACCACTGATTTTGTTTTATTTATATATGTTTACAGTTTACAGAATTACAATTATTTTTCACTTGTATTTAATATGTACTTAGATCATTAAGAATAAATTTGTGTAAAATTTGGAGTATTTTACTCTCTTATGAAAATTTAACACTTTAAAGGAAAAGTGAGCTATTATAATACTATCAATCCTGAAAAGATATTATGTCCTTTATTTTAGTTACATGAAAAAGAAAGTTCTATTTATATTAAATTAGTACAATATTAAATTGGCTATTTCAAATAGCTTAGACGATAATATAAAAGTTTTATAAAAAATTTACAAGTTTGTAATTTTCTAATATAATATTTATTATTGCTGTACATCATTCAACTTTCCTATTTAAACCTTTCCAATTGACATAGTAAAACCTTGATTATCAAAATTGCCAATTAGTTTGTAGTTTATAACATTTTACTAAGTGTACAAACTCTGATTTATTATGAAGGTACTATACCTGAAGCTAATAATAAAAAGAGTCATAAGTATAATTAAATATTGCTTTTTAATACTAAATCATCATTCATATTTTTATGCTTTATAAATTGTATGTAGATGTTAGATGATTTGAACATTGTAATTTATATGAATAATGATTACTGATTAAGCATTGGAACAGTAATTTATGAGTGGAAATCAGAATATAGCTAAAAATAATGGTTGAGTCTTTAGCAAACTTTTCAAGTAGGTTTGGTAGCAAGTCAAGAAATGTCTGGAATAATTCGGGTACTACTGTTCTTTTATTTCCTGCAGAAAAAAAAATTAAACCTTAAATGTATGTATTCATATTTTATGCCTTATATGGATTTTTTTTCCCTTTCTCAGCGAATTGCAGAAGTGGCAGAACATGTAGCTGCTGGATATAAATTTGATGAAAATATTAAAGTTAGTAATTACATTTTTCATTATTGTTCCATGATTATTTCGAATGCTTATTAGGCTTCTTTCTTGTTTCTTGTTTTAAACTTAAGCACATTATTATAAATTCATTGAAAAATTTATATTAAAAAAAAAAAACATGTTAAGAAGTTAGTGTTCACTAACTTTAAATAAAATAAAAACTGATTATAAAGTGTAAATGTTAATTTTCAGCTGACTTACCATTATTTTATCTCCTATATACTTTTAAAAGACCAATTTAAATTTATTAAAAGATTTTAAACTCCCTTTTATGGCATTTTAAGCATTAAAACTGCTAAGTATTTTTTTATATATAATTTTAAAAGCTTTTAGAAAAATTAGAATGATTTTACATTAAAAAATATATATATATTTAATTGAAATTAAAAAAGTATTTTCTGAATCTAAAAATTTATTATGATCTTCTTAAGTTTATTTCCCTATTCACTTTGGTTTTAGATTCAATAAATATTTCTTGAAAGTAAGGAGAAAAGTTAATTCAGCTGGTATTAATTTGACACCTTAAGGCAAATAAAAACAAAGCTTCAGCAAATATGCTAAAAAAAAAATTTAAAAAACGTAAGCTGAGTGGGCTAATATTTTTATCTTGAAAGGATTTAAAGATTAGATCAGAAATGCCTAAAGGCATTGGTAGAAAATTGATGATACTTTTTATATTAAAGTCCTTGTGTATTTATTATGTAATTAAAATATCGGTTATAAGGAGCTTAATTTTTATACCATGCACATTTGGAACAAAAATGTTAAATAAAAAATATTTCTTGCATTGTCATATGTATGTATTATGATGCTTATGGATATTTTAATAGATAAATCTTTATTTGTGCTTCCTGAAATGAAAAAGCTTCTTTGTTTTATTTTAAAACATTTATTGTATGTTTCTTAAATGTTTCTATCTCTTTTTATTTTCATTAATATTATTTAAGCATTGTTATTCTACATTTAAAAAGAGTGTTGCTTTATTTAACATTAAATTCTATTTAAGGATAATATTTATCAAGCATATATCTCTTTTAACAAACTTTTATTTCAACTTAGGAATGTCTCTGTTTCGCAGTAAAAAAAAAAATATCCCACCTATCTTTTATCGGCCTTTGCAAAGCTTGTTTTCTAAATGTTTTGAGATTTACAAGTTAATTTTTAGCAGCTGATTTACGTGTTTGAGGGAATTTTGAGTTAAGGTTTTTTTTTTTTTTTAATTTGACTTTATTTACCTGATATTTTTACTTTATTTCCCTGTTAACATATGTGATTAGTTTGATAAAATTTAAGAAGAAAAAAAGAAATCAAATTCGAGAGCTAAACACAGCATTTATGAAGGGTTCAAATATTGTTTTTCCACACATTCTGTTTAATGATGCTTTATTAAGTTTATTAAATAAAAAACAAACCATATACAATAAAATAAATTTTTGTCATTTCAACATGAATATTATAATGCTCGAATGGAAGAGGTTGAAGTAGAAAATAATGAAATTGATTCTAATGATGTAGTAACTAAAAGAAAGCCCAAAAAGAGCATTAGAGATCTAGATATGAAACCGCACAGAAATTTTGCTAATGCTCCTGTAAATTTTAAACATAGCTCTGTTCATGTACCTACAAATGTTTATGATAAAGGTAATATAAACATTCCGCATTTTTTAACTGAAGTTTTTTAAATAAATGTTGTTGTTTTTCCTACACATAATATTGTAGTCATCTCTACTTTATTTTACATGTAACTGATTATAAAAAAAAAAACATGTAACTTACATTAAAGAAGTAAAAATCATTAATAATAATTTTTATTTCTTATATATAAACAGATTTTACTGCCTGTCCACCGTTGGAAGACTATTTATTTTCAAACAACTTTTGTGACTGGAATATCATTTTGCTAAACGATCCTCATTGGCACAAAGCTTTCTTCCAGCTTACTATCATTGCTTTTATCTTCCTTTGGTTTTAGTTTTTACTAAGGATGTAATTAACGGATATGGGAGAATTTCGATCCTTTTGCGTAATATTCGGTTGGCTGAATACTTTGCCAAATATTCGGCAAAGTATTATCTAGAAATTTATTTTTCAATAANTTTGTTTCTTTTTGGAAGAGGAAGGGTAATTTGAATAGATTTAATAAAGAATTATCTGAAATCGAATTTCTTACTAAACATTATTTAAAGATATTTTTACGAATATTTGTAAGTTCAAATTAAGTTAATTAGTTAGTATATTTTCTGAAAGACATATGGAAAAACGAAATGTGAAGAATCGCAACTAGATTACTTTATACTGAACCATGAGCTTTGTAATGCAGATTTTTTTTTTTAAATTTATTTGTTTACATTCAGGCAAATCAGTTTTGTCGTGTTTTAAAAATTTTGTGTCGTAAAAATTGAGAACTTTTTCTTAATTTTTCATTTTTGTCTTTTTTTCTGTATTAACTATAGCAGAGCATTTTAACAGTACATTTCCAATAAACTTAATTCTTTTATTGTCACTTTTTTCCTGTACAATGAGACAGATAACCAATGACATGGAAAACTATTATTCTCAACGTTAAAGTTATATTTCAGAATTAAGAAGAAAAAACATTTCTGCTTCTCTTTTGCTAACTTTCATTTTTATCATCGTTTTTATTATTACAGCATTTTTTAAGAGCATCTCTAATGAACGTTATTCTTTTATGGTCACTTTTTTGTAAAAAAGTTAAATTGAGATTTTTAGTATTAAATCTTTCATTTAAAAATTAGAAAAATTTTTGTTTTGGCTTCTATCTAGCTTTTTCAAAAATATTTTTGTTTTTATTATGGCACGACAATTAAGAGTATTTCTATTAGTCTTTTAAACTTCATTTTTTCTTGAAAATGAGGTAATTGGAAAACTGAGATGCTTAGCTTTAAAATTTTCTTTCAAAAAGTCATCGAATTTTCTTTGAGAAATCATCGAATTTTATTTTTTTGGTTTTGCTTTTTTCTATAACCTTTTTTTATATGGGCGTTTTTATGATACTGGTGCTTTTTTAAAAACGTTTCTGATAAAGTTTTTTTCTCTTTCAATGTATTACACATAATTTTTTCTGGAAAATATTATTTTTAGCATTAAAATTTTGTTTTAAAAATGAAGACACTATTTTTTTTCTATTTTTTTTTCAACTT